TAGAATTCATCAACAATCAATTCAAATTTAAAGGAAATGTTATTTTCCCAATTTTTAACCACCACATGCAGAGCGAAGCTCTGTTAATCAATGAAAGTAACAAGTTGATTCTTTGTCAAAATAACAAAAAGTAATTTTCCATATTTTATTCTCTTGCAAATCTCTCTTTATTATGTTGAAGTTGAAGTTGTACTTGTATCTAAAAGTGGCTGAACTGCACCATCACGTTGTCAGCCCTATGTGCGAGTTTTATGATAAAAAGATAACCAGAATTGGTCAAAATGATGATTTTTTCTTCATACATACGATGACTGTACTTTTGCGTATTTCATCCGAAAGGACATCTTCTTTTATATTGGGCAAATTATTCAATTTCTGTACTTTAAGAAAGTTTACTGTCATAAAAATTTCTCTCAATGTCTTTGTATTGAAGATGTAATCCCATTCATATTATAAGGCACATGTCATTTTCCTTAGAGCAGGAAATATGACATTAATTATTTTCTTTTAGGAAATTTGGAACAGTCCATATCGAAACGCTGCTTTCCAGTTTATGCTGAGGAGATTGATGCTGGTTTTGATGTGTCTTCATTGACGGCCATGTTATCAGAAGTTGCCTGTCTCCTAAATATCACAATAGTTGGAGGCTCCATACCGAAACGAAGTGGCGATAAGTTGTACAATATCTATTGTGTCTTTGGAACTGATGGAAAGTTGAAAGCTAAACACCGCAAGGTGATATCCCGTGGCCACATTTTTTATAATTAAATACATGTGTCCTTGGAATGCTTTAAGTGTGAGAACGTGTATTTATTATTATTATTTTTTTATAGAGCTATTAATACATTCTGGTAGTATGTTAGCTATTTAACTGTTTGCTTACTTTTATTCATCAATTAACTTAAGACATGAAGTTTGCGTGGTGGAGATATTGAACAATTTTGCAGTCTTATTTTCCAATCTTCTGAAACATGATGCACAATTATAACTCAAAAATATATTTTCTTCATGGAGACATGAAGCATGTATAGCTCTGCATATGATCTACATAAATGTTTTATGTTGTATTTTTTTTATTTTTTTTTATTTTTTTTGGGGTACGGTGAAAGACTTAGTCATTGATGAGTACATTCTGTACTTGTGTAGAATCTTTTTAAAATTTTATATTTTATTGAGAAAATACTTTTTATCCATCAACAATGATGTTAAAGAGTTTCTTTTCAGAAAAGAAATGGAGCAGGAACTAAGTATTATACTTCTTTCACAGAAAGTTCCAATATGTGCACGTTGTTGTGACTGATGCACCTTTTCGATATTGACATTCCTGGAGAGATTATGTTCAAGGAATCTAAGACTCTTACTCCTGGCGAGACTCCAACCATAGTGGACATGGGTACTCATGATAGCTGTTCTGAGTTAATCTCCATACTCGTGATAGCTGTATTGGGTTAATCTCCATAAGTGCTAATTTGTTTCTTTACATTCCAATGCCTGAATAAGCTGCCATCGTAGCTTGAGATGTAAACTCTTGGTCCCATAAATTAATCATTTCAAATATTCTTTTTATCTGTGAGCAATGTGATTGTGAGGGTTAATTACACATTGGTCATTGAACTTTACATAAGGTTTTCAATAGGTCACTAAACTTCAAAAGTTTCCTCATTAATCACTGAACTTTACAAATGTAATCTCATCTATCGCTGAAAACTTCAAAGGTTTCCCCTTTAGTAACTAAACTTTACAAAATATAATGACATTTAGATTTTGGAATGCTATTCACAAGATGTATTAGCATTTTGGAATGTTTCCTTTCATCAAGTCTCGGGGAAATTTTTAATTTCTTCCACTAAGGCAATTGTTGGGGATTTCTGACAATGTTCTCTCTCTTTTTTTATTTATTTTTTTTTATTTATTTTTTTTTTTTTTGGAAATACTGATTTTAAATGCTCAAATATCTTTAGGAGAAAAGAATGCGTAACCTTTAGGCCGTGGTTGGTTTGCCATTTTCGGCCCATTTTCCGTTGTCGAAAACGCGGAAAACGCGTTTGGTCCGTCGTTTTCGAAAACGCATTTTTGAAAACGAGTAAAAATTTATAACTGAAAACGCAAAACGATTTTTTATCGTTTTCAATTATAAATGTCAAAAACGCTCAAAATGTGAAAAATAGGCTGTTTTCAGGGAAAACTAAAAATCATTTTGAAAATGAAAATGGAAAATGAAAATGCAAATCAATCACTACCTTAGTCTCTTATGCTATTGTCTAGTCACAAGATGGGTTTGGCTGAGTGACAATATCTTAATGAAAGATGATAAATTTATGTTATAAGTTACAGTGAACTGTAATAAAATAAGTGATGATTAAAACCTGATGAAAGAGGTCTGGGACTTCTCTATGTTGAACTTAAAACCTGGCATTCAAGCAAATTGATTTAGAGTTTATAGTTTATACTTTGTGCTGCTTATGTATTTGGCTGAATTTCTTTAGTCGTGTATCCTCTTCATGTTAACAATGTTTGTCTCTATACCTTAAGACATAATAGACAACTTGGAATAACACACTATCTCTATCTCCATCTCCATCTCCAATTCACCCTCCACCCTTCAAATCAATATTGAAATCATACACTCAATTGCTCATAATTTTCTTGCTCTTGTGGTTGATTTCCTGTTACTGTCTACTTAGTGATGGTAAAATATTTGTTTTAGGGGCTCACTTGCTCTGCCATCCTGGGGCATTCAACATGACTACTGGACCGTGTCTCTGAGAGTTACTGCAAAGGGCAAGTTAATTATGCAATGTAATTAGTGTTGGATATTAGTAGTATTCTTATAATTCTACAAGCAGGCTTGATGAGTCCTTTGTCTTCTCTTCTAGACTTCTACAATATTGGCTTGGCCAGTGGACCAGTTTATTATATCCAAGCAATGTGCTTGACACTTAAAACTCCAGATTATGAACCAGACAGAACACCCAGTCGTAACCTCACCAATTAAAATAAGAATCTTCCTCCAGTTCCCTAATTTATTTGAAACTAATTCCTTTATATGAAAATAAATCTTGTAATTTTTTATTTTTATTAGTACTATTATTATTATCTTTTTTTTGTATCAAAAGATAATTATACAACTTTTTGTATGTGTGTCTGTGACTCCCTAGACACCCTCTTGGCTTTCCGTTTAGCTAACTTGTACTTCTCAAAGCCTCCACAATTAAGCACTTTCTGATCGCCAAGGTTATAGGTGTGCTATACATGTGCTTTGGTGTCAGAATATAAGAATATTCTTACATCTTTATATCTGTATGAGACCATGCCACAAATATATGTTTTTACGTTACTACTTGCAGGTTTGTAGAGTCATTTTGCTTCATTTTTTTCCCTTTT